ACTGTTATTTGCGTACACGTTGGTACTGGGGATTGAACCCCGGGCCTTGCGCTTGAGAGGCAAGTGCGGCGCAACTGAGCTAAATCCCCGGCCCTGTGTGTACATGTTTTTTAACTTCCTGAAATTTCTTACCTCTCCCTTCCCCCACCAAATTGTGAACTCTTTGAAGATAAGTGCTGGACCTTAATCTTATCTATGTAGAAGCCCTTCTGTGCCAGGATCTGTACTGATGTCGGCAGAACCAGAGAAAGTGAAAAATAAAAAGGGGACTAGCCTAGCAGTGGTAGGCAGGAGGCAGCTCACAAGCCAGAAGAAAGGAATGTGAGGTTTCTTTTTCTCCGACCCCGCACTTCCTGCAGCCCCGCTGGGTTCCTACTCCAGTTTCTGAGAAGCAAAATCTGAGTCACCTCTTATTCCTAAACTCCTCTCTACCCCTAGAAAGATTTGGAAGCCGCAGGGTACTGGGGTACTGAAGGTCGCAGCACCATCTCATTCTTTCTCCCTCTCACAATACTGTATAGACAAAGAGTAGCAATGCCCATGGCCGAGCCAAGAGCCTAGCCAGAATATAACCGTCTGCCTTTCGCCCCTGGGACCTTGCTTCCACTGGAGATGGAATTTCACTCGGAAAGTAGGTAGAAGGTGGTGAAATTAGCCTTGAGAAGCTGGGTGGGAGGAGAGCTTGAGGGAAGGCAGACGGCCTCTCAAGGCAAGGAGAAGAATCAAATTATTGAAGCCGCTTCTCCGGTTACCAGCTCTTGGCTTTCTTTTCGGTAATTGCTTGTTTACTCACTCCGCAGTTCTCAGAGGCTGTTGGACTCCTGCTGCTCTGGGAGCTGTGGGTTTACCTGACCCCCTCCTCCGCCCACTTCTCCCCTGTATAGAACCCGCTGGGAAGAAACAAAGAGCAGAGTTCAAGTCCTAATGAGGTCTCTAGTGAGGTAGAGGTGATAGTCTCTATTCAGTCCCGGGCAGAGAATCTGAAATCCCCGAGCCAGCCCTTAAATTGACTGTTGGCTGGGTGCTCAGAATGAGGACTCCTGGGAGGGGGGCAGGCCTATGGAACCTGGTTTCTAGGACAAGAGCTTAAGTGCAAGTAGCCCCTTTCTGGGCCCATTTCTCTCCCAACCTACAGTCCTCCCAGTGAGAACGTTCCAGTGTTACAATTTAATAAATCCCTGAAAGTCAGCGTGGATTAAAGAGGTGATAAATACAAGTATGCAAATTGCACTCACAAAGAAAACAGCAGAAGATAAGTGAATCCTTTATCTGACTATAACTGATAAGAGCTTGCACTAATGCTCCCAAAAGGGGACAGATGTTAGTCCCGTCATTAATTAAGGTTCTTATCTACATTCCTATTGTGAAAGATGATCATGTAGTCCTTTAAGTAATGCTTTGTGCCTCGGGAGACCAGAGATTCTGTGAAAACACTGACTAGGGCTAGGCCCCAGCTAAAAAAAGCCAGAGGTGTACATTTCTTATCTTCTAATTAAAGCCCATTATCATTTACTTACAAATGGATAGAACTGAAACAAACTAACCCTTGGGAGACCCCAGGTCCAACAAACATAGATAATTTACAAACAAAATATCAATATGAACCTAATCGAAGAGTTTACCATTTGCTTTTCCTTAGGAATATTAGGTCCTTAAGGACCCTTAGCCTTGGTCTCTAAATTTGTTCTCCCCTTTGGCCTGCCTGTGGGCTGGGGAGAGGTCATTGGTCTTTGGCGGGGGAATGAAGAGCCAAGCTCTGATGGCATCTGGGACGTCTCTGTCCCTTCTTTCTCTTTATTGTACCCTAATTTTAGCAGTACTTGTAGGAGACCCTCCCTCCGCCTATTTTCCCATACATTTTCTGGCTGGGCTGCCCTCCCCACATACTTACTGGGCCAATTAATCCATGCAGACACTTCTGTAATATTTGTTCACATGTTTCACGTCCTAAACAGGCTGTGGCCTCTCCACCTCTGCATCACATTCATCTTCCTGTCTCCACATTCTACCCCTCAGCTGGCATTGGCAACAAACTAGAGATCTTGGGGGACTCAAGTCCTAGTTCAGGCTTTCACAATGTGCATGACTTTGAGCAAATCACTGAATCTTCCTGAGCCTTAGCTTCTTGATTTTAAAATAAATCTTGCCAATTCCAACTCACACAGTTTTGAATTAAAAATGAGACAACTGTGGAAGTGCTGAACAAAACGCCAGGTGGTAGAGGTGGTAGGAGGGGAGCTTAGCTCCAAGCAAAGACATAGTTGTCTTAAGTCTCAGGCCGCCATAAAGAAATACCATAGACTGGGTTGTTTAAGCAACAGAAATTAATTTTCTCCTCAGTCAAGAGCAGTGATGGTGAATCTTTTAGAGAAGCACTGGCCAAACTGCACCCCAAAAGACACATTGCAAAGAGCCAACATTGCAATTAAACCTGAACATTGAGGTTTTAGTTAAAAAAAAAACTCATACATTAACATTTCTTGTTGTAAAAAGAAAAACACACTAGCACGTGTGCCATAGGTTTGCCACCACCGGTCTAGAGGCTGGAAGTCTGAGATGAGAGTGCCAGGGTGGTTGGGTTTCGGTGAGGGCTCCTCGGGGCTTGCGGTAGATCTCTCTCTCCTTATGAGGTCACCATCCTAATCATCTGTATGACCTCATTTTATCTTAGTTATCTCTGAAAGGCCTTACCTCCAGATGGAGTCATATAAGGGGTAAAGGCCTCAACATATGCATTTGTGGAACACAACTCAGCTATAGCAATACTAAAGGAGCTTCATCAGCACATAGAACCCTACAGTCCTGCCCTCACCTTGCACATGTGGAACCCTCCCCACGCTCCATTTTATGCTACTGAGTATGAATCTGGACTTGTACACCAGCTGTCCCAATAAGTACGATGTTTGTATGATATCCTGTGGCTTATGAAGAATATTGCATACATCACTTAACCTTATCTTCATAATCACTGTTTCACAGATGAGGAAACTGAGGATCTAAATGACCCAGCCAAGCCTTATGCCAAGGTCCTCTCTTTCCATCATACCAAGGTATCTGGCTATGCCCACTTCAAAGAAAACACAGGGCTCTGGGCTGGGGATTTACCTCAGTGGTTCTGCCGCCTGCCTCGAAAGCGCAAGAACCCGAGTTCAATCCCTGGTACGAATAAAAAAGAAAACATAGGGCTCTAAGAACTGGCAAATTCTAAACTCAAACTTAAGTCCCTCGGCTGTGACCATAGCTGAGAAGCTTCACTTAAATTTGTCCCCATATGAATCTTTTCTCCTTGCTCTGGGATTTTATAGAGTTTAAAGAAGAAAAAATATAGATAAAGCGAGGTAACATTTTTAGTAGCAAGGACTTTACACGTGTGATAATATTTTACGTTCATTTATTTTCAGACCAATTTCAAGGCATCCTGCGCACTTTCTTACTGTATTTCTCTGGGATGTCCTGCCCACCCAGGACAAATGAATGAGACTGTTAATTGTACTCATTCACTAGGTATTAAATCAGTTTAGAATCTTCCCTGTGCCCTACAGGAGCTCACATTCCAAATGTCGGGAAGTAGCCTGGATCCCTCCAGAGAGATATTATAAAAGGAATTCTCTCTGGTCTGCTCCCCCACCCCGACCCCAGGAACAACTCAATTCTGACCGACACCCCAGAGCTGGAGACTCTCTTTCTAGGATCTGCAATACTCCTCACTAAACCAACACAAGAAATGCGCGAGGGCCACATTTAGTCAACCCCTTCCTCAGGGTGGGGGTCATCGCAGATCCCCGCAGGGAGAAAAAGGGACATGAGTTCACCGGGTGCACTGCTGGGCGCCGGGGTCTGGGGTTCACTGGAACGCTCGCCCGGGATCCAGAGGGCCGTTCCCGTTCCATCCCTTCCCTCCAGCCCACAGCCGCCTGGCCTGGGCTCTCGGGCAGGAGGGGGCTTTATTTCCCGGATCCCTCTTTCATCTGGCCGCGCAGGCGGGGGATTCTCTCCCCGCAGAGGTCTCCTCCCTTCCGAGGAGGAAGGGAGGGGAGATCCGGGGAGGATTCAAAGGGGCCCCGAGGTCAGACGAGGCCGGGAGGCTCCCCGCAGAAAACGGGACCAGCGACGAGACTCTTACGCCCGGCTCTCCGTGGAGCTTCCTCCCCTGCAACCGCCTTTCCGGGCCGGGCGGGCGGAGGGGGAGGGGAGTCTTCCGGCGCCGGCCGCTAGGGCCGGGTGCGCCCCGCCCGAGAGCAGGCCCAGGCCGCGCAGAGCGCGCTGCGCCTCAGGCGGGAGGGAGGAACCGGCCCGCCGCGGTCGGAGGTGCCGCCCGCGCGCTGCAGCCGGCGTTGCCACGGTTACCGGGGCGCTCCGGTGGGGGGAGGCAGGCGCGGCGGGGGCTGGCGGGCGGAGCGCAGCGGGCGGGACGGGGGCGGGAGTCGCTGCCGCGTCGTCATGGGAACGGCGCAGTTATTTCCAACCCCCGGGCGGTGCCAGTGGCGCGGTGCCAGGGTGCGAGGGTATTGCAGGACAGGCCGCAATCTGCGGTGGCCGGGCCGTCACAGTGCGCCTCTTCTGTAGCGCGGGCCTCGCAGGGAAGAGCGCCCCACAAATCAGAGGGGCTGGGGCCGCCCCCGCGCGCCGAACCTCCTCCCGGGCGCTCCGCGGCGGGGAGCCGGCGGCCCGAGGCGCTCCCTGCTGCACGTGCTGCCCCCGCCGCCGCCCTCGCCAGACAAAGCGGGGCTTCCCGGGCGCGTTTCCTGCCCCCCTTCCCGCGTTGAGCCCTTTGATTCCGGCCCACTCCCGTCGTCGTCTCTCACTCGTCCCACCCCTCTCAGCTGCCTCCTGGAGCGCCGCCTTTTGTGCTCGCCACCTCAAATTTGGCCTCCTCTCCAAAGCTTCGCCTTTAAAAACCCTCCGTCTGACCCCTCCCCCACTCGGCTCCTTTGGTAGCTGGGTACTTTTGTCTTAGGGCGACTGCTCCCTTCACTTCGTTGTTTTCAGCTCCCGGTTACCTCTTCTATTGTCCTCTCCCTTCTTGTCGGAACCTTCTTTCTGACCTCAGCCCTGCAGAGACTTCCAGAAACTATCTTGCCTTCGCAGTGTTCTTCTCTCAGGGCTGTGGGACAGCAGGAGAGAGATTGCAAATGGGTAACTAGATGGCATTCCCTTTGTATGTCGCTGACGCCACCTTTTTTCTCTCACCCTGAAATCACATTAGTTGGACACCGTGAGTGGGGCAAGGGAGTTGTGTTGTTTCTGCCATCAGCATTCTTTCTGCTTGGAGACTTGGAAATTCAAGTAAAGTAAGCTACTGGGTACTGGCCAGAGACCCTTGAGATGCAACTCGAGCCCTAGACATCTCTCCTACTCCGTCTCCGCCGGTTACTCCTTGGTTGGTTTCATGTGCCTGGTCCCACCTCTGGGCACCCTTCGCCGCCCCCGCCCCCGCCCCCCCAGCCCTCCAGCCCCCCAGCCCCCCAGCCCCCCAGCATTGTTCATCCCTTTCGCACCAGCTCTGCAGGAGGAAAGGGCAGGTCCTCCTCTCCAGGAAGGAAGGTGGGGCAGAGTAGCTCCTGCAGGAAGGGAAGGAAAAAGGAGGGAAGGAAGGAAGTGGCCAAACCAAAGAAGGTGGAATCCGGTGGGAGGGCTTTACATTGTTTTAACATCTTTCTTTTTTAGTGCTGGAAATTCAAAGCCAAGGCCATTTCAGAAGCAAGGTTCTGCTGCCATCTCCAGAACCTCAGCCTGGTCTGCCTGTCTGAAGCTGGATGGGGTAGAGGTTTGGGGAGTGGCACAATTCAACCTAAGTCGAAAATTGTAGGCGCTTACATTTTTAAGGTGTGCATCCCCCCCCAACAGAGACACTTTTATCTTGCATTTTCTCAAGGGGGGAAAGTCGCAGGATTAGAACTATACTTTATGTAGGGAAAATGTATTTAACATTTCTGAGGACTTTATAAGTGTGTCTGCTCTTACACTCTGTACTACTTCATGCTTATCTAAGGCGTTATAAAGAGTTCCCATTTACACAACTTCATGTCATCCATTCTCATCACTCCTACTTTGGTCACACTATTAATTTGTTTTTGGTCCCGGGGATCACCCTAGGGCCTCAAGCATACTAGGAAAATGCTCTACCACTGAGCTACATCCCCAACTTTAAAACTCAGCCTTTCAGGGAAAAATATTCCTCAATATTACTCTCCAGTATTCCCTCCACCCCTCTGGCCTAGGCCTGGGGCCAGACGCAGGCCCCAGAAACACTGGTAAGGAAGTGCTTTGGTCATTCTAAACCTGTGGTCCGTTAGCAAAGGTGTGTATACTCAGAGGTTTGTTGAGTGGCTTCTTTTGCACAGCATATCTTTGCATCTCTATTCATTTAATACCCAAATGAGTACAGAACTAAACTACCAGCCAATTTTCTGGCTCCATTGGTGGCATCTTGTTCCTTGAAAGCCCCATAATGAAAAAAATTGTCCAGTGCTTTGGAAGACCTTTCCTGAAAACCTAGTGGAAGTTAGCCTGCTCTTTTGTTTTCCCACCTGGATTAGTTAAGAGTGTGTCCTGAGCACTCTGAGAAGAGGCCAGAGGGAGTGTGTAAAAGTGCATCCTTGTGTGCTTGTCCTCTGGGGAGAGGGTGTTATCAACATTTCCACAGCCTGGAATGGGAGTGCTCTGGGATCCCAGTGCTCTGGGATCCTTTTGTCTTATTTAGGGTTTTAAGTTTCTGTCTTGTTGGTGGAGGAAGGTATGAAAGGTCATGTGGACAGCGGGTGGTTCGGAGTTAGGACAGGTGTGAGCAGAGATGTGAGGCTTGGCTTCCCTTCCTACTGTTTCACTTCCCCAGGGAATGATACTTCTCTAGAGAAAACGTTCTACCACCGTCAATCAGTGAACCAAATCACAAGCCCGTTTGTCCTGTGCACTTGCTCAGCACTGAGTTGGGATATCTCTGAGCACTTAGAGTCTCCCAGAAGCCACGAGCTCTGTGGTTATTGTGTGGCGGGAGAAGGTGTTTATTGTGTGTGTACAGAAGGAGGGAGGGCAGATTTCTTGTGAACAGAAGGAAAGAAGGATTTTCTCATTAACAGCTCAACTGTGAGAGGGCTGGGCCTCCTTTAGGCATCATAGTCATGGAGGTGGTTGCAGAGCAAGGCTAAACGGTCACCTGTCCAGAGTCCTCGGTGCACATTCTTGGGCTGTTTGGGACTTGAAGTCATGGTCTTCACAGTCTCTTCCAACTTCAAGATTGTGACATTTTGAAGTACATGAAAGATCCTAGGCAGCACGTGATGAATAGCTCTTGCTTTTACGAAGGATTCCGTTTGTCAAATATTTGTTTTGTTCTTTGTTACCTCAGATCTGCCAGACACTATGGAGATTCAGAGATGGGAGGGGGGTTAAGGCCATTAACACTAGGGTCCAGGCCAGAATGGAGTGGTCCTGTCCCCAGTTGTTGCTCAATAGAAGCCCAGAGGCTCAGCAACCTATTACACCGTTTTTCTATAATTTGTTTCTTCTAAACCCCGGATTTAGCTCAGTGGTGCCACTACCTGCCTCGAGACTACAAGGTCCCGAGTTCGATCCCCAGTACCAAAAAAAAAAAAAAGTAACCCTTCTGACATTCTGGATCCAAAGATTTGCAGAGACTGTCTGGCTTTGATCTGTAGGGGTGGGGCAGAAAAGAGAGGAACTATATTAATTGAGAGAGAAGGGCAGAGTGAGTAGGTTTGTATCTATGAGGCTGAATGCTGAGTGAGTGAGGATAGCATCTACCCTGCCAGGATATGCTGGGATAGGGACAGGAATGAAAACCAGGAGGAAAATGAGGTGGAAATGAATGAGCCCCTGTAGGAGGAGGTAATGAGGTGAGTCAGAAAAATCTGCCACTGAGATCCAAAAGAGACGGGGAGGGTTAACTTCTCTTGGTCCTTTTAAAAGATGAGACGAGTTAGAGGGCCTAGACTTATGAGGATAGATATGTTTTGTTGGCTCCTAGCAGGAGCCCAGGGATGGATTAGGTAGGGGCTTGCCATGCTGCTGTGAAACATGATGAGAACCTTGCACTTGGGCAGTCTGAAATCACACAGATAAGGCAAGAGGAGTCCTAACGAGCCTTAAGAACTCCTCTGCTTGGTGCTCACTATGTCATCCCTGTAAGCATCTCCTTCAGGACAAGTCCAAGTATCCGAGGGACTCTTAGAACTTGTGAGCCAGCTGCGGGGTAGTAAGTGTTTGGGGGAAATGGATGGGTCCCTCTTAAGTATTCTGATTAGCGTATCTGTTGATGTGTCAGTATTAGTGTCCACAGCATCCTTAGGGATAGGAAGCCTTACCTTGTTTATGTCTTTGTGTGCTTTCCTCTGCCGTAATGTTGTCTACTCTCACAATCTTATGCCCAGAATATTCTTCAAGAGACTGTTCCTAGTAGTTGGGAGGAGGATCTGGGTGTGATTTGAAAGGTGTGGAGTGGGGGATGCTTTCTTTCCGCTAAGCGTGTCTTCTATTAGCAAGTCTTTCTCCCCACCCCACCCCCACTCCCCACTCCCCACTCCCCACTCCCCACTCCCCACTCCCTCCGCCCCTCTTTTTCTTTTTTGTTTCCAGTAGGTACCCGGGATCAAAGACAGGACTTTGCACTTGCCAGGCAGGCGCTGCCGAGCTACTTCCCCGGCCTTCTTTTTCTTTTTTGAGATAAGGTCTCACTATATAGTTCAGGCTGGCCTTGAGCTCACTATGTAGTCCAGGTTGGCCTTCACCTCATGGCAATTCTTCTGCTTCTGCCTCCCAAGTGCTGGGATTTATAGGTGTATACCACCATGCCTGGTTTAGCAGGAGTTTCTTTGGGGACACTGGTCTGGTTTTGAGGCATAATCTTGGGTGCTCACTGAAAGATGCTCACTGCAGATGCTGTCCCTGTGGAATGATGGATCATTGATCACTATCTGCTCTAAGAGAGGGCAGAAAAGTCACAGACAAGGCCACCCAAGTACAGACCAGGATTATGAAGGAATGGGACCTCCAACCACGGAGTGTTGAGAAAGTGGAGCTAGGTCAAGCGAGAAAACAAATCCAAACCTCGGGGTTGGCAGCCTTCTTAATGTCCTCACTTCAGCCCTGGTGAGCCGAAGGACTATGGAGCTGCCCCTGGGTCCTGGCTTCAAGCTAGTGGTGCTCGAATGGTAGATCCTGTGGACCCTGGACTGTGACCTGGGTCATCTGAGAACCTCCCATGGATGCTGGAGTGGAATTTCAGTCTGCCTTGAATTTGAGAATAGGAAGGCTGCTTTGGGGAGTATTGCTCTTTGCATTCAGATCATCACAGGATTCTTTACTTTGAAGAATGAACAGAAGCCAGAGGCTCAGTTTGACAAGGGCTCTGCAGGGGAATTGCAGGATGCTGCGGGAAGCTCTTCTCTTCCTTGGATGATGAATGTGACAGGCCTGTGTGAGAAAGGCAGCCAGATGCCAATTGCTTTTCGGGTATTAGCACTTGCTGGTAGGGTTCAGCTAGAAGCCCTGGCAGGTATTGTGTGCAGACCAAATGAGGGACAGAGGCACCTCCCTGAACTCAGGATTGCCAAGACAACAGATACTGGGAGGTGGCCCTTGGAGTTCCATCTGTATAGGCTAAGGGTGTGGCAGGGTGCTGAGTTAGAAGTTGAGGAGAAGGGGTAGAAGATGGACTTCAGCCAGAGAGGAACTGATCTTAGGCAGGGTACACTAGGCTGAGTGACCCAGAGTGAGCCCTCTTACCCAGGTGCCTCATCAACCTTTGAGCGCTGAATGATTATCACGTGCATTCTCTAAGGCTGTTGGGGGTTCCTTCCCTCTGAGTATCCCTGTACTTCCCATTCCCACCTGCCAGCCTCTGTGTTGGACTGTGGAGCTTTATCTTCATCCTTGGCTGAGATGTTCAAGAGCTAGTTGGGCTTAGAGGGCTAAGAGGCTCACATTCACTTTCATAATTCCGCCCAAATCCTCCTGTAGCCAGTATTCAAGCCTTTGTGCCTCCTCCCTGCCCTGCTTTTTTTGCCTCCTTCATTTTTTGCCACTACTAAGAATATGTAACACCCTCTATTCACCTTGAAGTACTGAATTTGTAGTTTTCCAGAGTGTGCCATGCTCTTGTGCCTCTGTCTTTGCCCATGCTGTTCCTTCTCCCTGGAACATTATTCCCTTGCCCAAATCCAGAGATGCCTGGCTTATCCTATGAGACCTTCCAAGGAGGCTGTGTCTCATCTTTTCCAGAATTCTTTTCCTGATGCCTACAGGTCCCCAGTCTGGAGTAAAATGTCCCTTTTCTGTTCTCCTAGAGGAGCAGGTCCATACTCCAGTCACAGCAGTTTTCAGTTGTGATACTGTGTTCCTTTTTCCCCTAACAAGGAAACAATCTCTTCTGGGATTTACCAGTGGTTTTAATACAGTGCCTCATATGGAACCAGTACTTGTTTATTTGCTTAGTTGCTAATTGTTCATTCTCCCCTGCCCCCATTAGAATTTAAGCTCCATGAAAACAAAGATCTTGCTTTCCTCATTCAATGTTAAACTCTAATCCCCAGCACAGTTTGCAATAAATATTTATTG